CGCTGTCACACAGGCCGACACTGCAGACAACGCGATAAAGGGAGAAGAGTGGTATATGCCGACCCCTCGCAAGTGAGGCGCTCGCCTCCACCCTAGTGAGGGGCCCGCCTCCACCCTAGTGAGGGGCCCGCCTCCACCCTAGTGAGGGGCCCGCCTCCACCCTAGTGAGGCGCTCGCCTCCACCCTAGTGAGGCGCTCGCCTCCACCCTAGTGAGGGGCCCGCCTCCACCATAGTGAGGGGCCCGCCTCCACCCTAGTGAGGCGGTCGCCTCCATCCATCTGAAGCGATGGCCGCAACCACTGAAGGGGGACCGACGGCTGATTTGTCTTTAAATTCATATATGCCCAGTAAAACCGTACAGAATAATGAAGAGCAGGTAAGTTGGACGATGGTGATGGTCGTGCCGAAAATTCCCATCTAAGTAAATTTAAAGGGCAGGACAGCGCCTTCCATGCCGGTAATCGCAACGCAGTAACTCCCCACCAAACAGCTCCCCACCAAACAGCTCCCCACCAAACAGCTCCCCACCAAACAGCTCCCCACCAAACAGCTCCTCATCCTTCAGCTCGTGTTCGCGTTCTGCCCGCAATCGTGCAGTACTTTCGGATTGTGGTACTTTTCGACCGATCGACGAGCACGAACGCTGCTTTGTCTTCCCTCCCCAATGTCGCACGGCGTAATGGCGAACATCCCTTTTTAATGGGAAGTCGCATGAACTTCGTATTTGGCATGGGCTGGAAATCACAGTGGGGCCATCTCTACGTTTCGGCACTGTTTGGCTCAGAAAATAAAGGGCGGCGAGAGGAGAAAGGCAGAAAACCCTTCTCGGCGTTCACCGGAACTGAATTCCCGTCCGCGAATGGCTCGAAATAGAGCCATGCGCGGCTCCGAATCTCCGGCGCGGGGTCGGTCGTGAACACGAAAAGATGCCGATTAATATTGAATATTTTTAATAGTTAATATTTTAATTATTAATATTAATCTCGATCTCGTCTGCTGAGGCTGGCGGCTCGTTCGTTCGGGGCCGGGGTCGGGAACCTTATTGGCCGGGTGAGCCAATTTTCACGATGAGCCAATGTCTCAATGAGCCAAGTGCTCGTGAGCCAAAAGATTTTTCAGGACAACAGAATTTTTTTCTGAAGCTGGTGACAAACATATGTATTCTTTGATGCATGAGAAAAATGACGAACGACCGCGACTCCTACGGTGCAAAAAATTTCAACGCAAACTACGAACTGAACAGCCACCAATTATGCAAAAAAAAATTTGCAACCAATTGAACTCAAATTGAACTTGCACAAAACTTTTTTGGTTCGAAAAAGTGCAATTCGCCTTCGAAAATAAAATTTTCTTGAGTTATTTTTTTCTCAAGAAAATTGGTGCTTGAAAATAAATATTTTCTCTTCTTTAAAGTCTATGAGCCAAATATTTTCGCTCGCGGAGCCAAATTTGGCTCACGAGTCGCAGGTTCCCGACCCCGGATCTAGCGGATAACTCAGGTTTGGCGGGAGGCCCGGGACGGTCTCTATCGGTCGGGGAATTTCCAAAATATGCAGTCCAACTTGATTCTGTGCCATTTTGAACTCGACTTCAAGTTCTTTGTATGGCCGATTCCTGCCGTCTTTTGTGCCAAATTTTCGCAGTGAAGCGAAAGTTCGACACTCTCAAGCATAGGCGGCGATTCATAGGGGGCTCAGCCCCCCAAAAAATTGGATTGGGCTTGGGTTAGGGACAGCGAGGACAAGAGTACGAGAAGTACGTGAAGGAGTACTTAGTCTCTGAGCTCCCCCCCCCCCCAAACTTCTCAACAAACAGCTGCCTATGCTCCCAAGTGTTGCGTGGAAATATTCTCTGTTGATGGCACGCTGTTGATGCAAAAAAAGTGGAGAGAAATGCCTTTACGAGGAAAATCTGGGAATATTTTCGCGACCATGCACGCCTGTCGAAAAATCGCCGCGAGAAACGAACCGGATTAGGGATCAGTGCCTCATGCTCATTCTCATCCATGAGCATGAGCATGAGCATGAGCACGAGAGTGAGGCACTAACCTTGCATTCCCAAGAGGAGCTCCACGCCGCCTTTTGCACCATCTGGAGGAAGGAAGAATCCGTGAACGCAAGAAGAGTGATTCCAACTCCTGAGCCCATCACCCACGCTTGCTTGTGCGGGACGGACTTCTGCAACGACCGTCGCTACAGCATCCAGTTCGACGTCCCTGTCGGCGACATCCAGTTCGACATCCCTGTCGGCGACATCCAGTTCGACATCCCTGTCGGCGACATCTAGGTCGACATCCACGTCGACGGCGCTGTGGTGCTTGCTGCGCCTCCTGTTCTGTTCGGTCTCCCCTTCGGCCTCTTTGGATGATTTTTGTAGAATGAGACTCCGATCGGCGTGATGCCATGGAATCATTTTGGCTCTAAAAACGTTCTTTCCGTGGTGACAGGGCATTCTTTCCGTTGCCCTTCGATATCAACGATTCACTAGATCCGAACTGTAGCGCGCAACCGTGTCGTTGAGGGAACGCAAGGGTCGCAACACGAGCACGTCTTCGAAAGCACCATGACGGCTTCCGCCCTTCGGCCGATCCCTTAAAAATTCTCGCGAATTGGGACCGAAAGGAGACGACGAACGAATCCGCCCGATCCCTCGAGACGGATCCAATCACGATTCCGCGAAGGAACACCGACGGAGAGCGAAGGAGGGAAGGGAGCGTCTCGGCGCGGATGCCACGTGGGTCTGAGGGAAAACAGCCGAGGGCGAGGAACTGATCGGGGGATGGACTCGTCCGGGTGGGGGGAGGGCGGGTGGTGGCGGGTCGGGTGGTCTGGGCTCCCACGGGGTGGGCTGCTTGGGTGGTCCGTGTGCGGTACCGTGTGAGGGTGGATCGCTGCCGGTGGCCTCCCGCGTCGACCGAGGTGGTCGCCTTGAGTCCGTCTTGGGTGTTCCGACCGATGTGTAATCGTGGGGGGTTCATGAGGTAAGTAGGGTGTTCCGGGTTGATGAGCGGGGGGCGGGGGAGGGGCGGGGCGGGGATGGGGCAAGCCTGGTTTTATTTATTCGTGGTTCTTGGTTGTGCGGTCGGGGACTTCCTGGGTTTTTCTGATTGGGATTCGTTGACCTGGGAACCTGTCCTTGCTCTCGCGAAACGGGGCCTACCGCAAAGTAAAAATAAAGTTGGCAACGCTCTGACAGGATCGCAAAAGGTTAAAGAGACGGCATCTTTCAGAAGTAACCCCCCCCCCCACCCACCCAAAAAAAATTAGCCTAAATTCCTGTTCTTGTGTGGGACACGTAGATTCATTCTGAAAGGTATCGAAATGGTCCAAGGATGATCCTTTCAGCCTTTCTTTTCAAGGTCGCAGCCGATGATCCGAGCTGGCAGTCACGAAAGTGTCCAATTTCACTTTAAAACCGAGAAGCCCCGAGGAAATCCGGCGAAGGACGAGCAGACGACGCTCGCAATCCCGTTCGTTTCCGGCGTCGAAATGCAGATGTCACTGTCGACGCACGCCGGTCCCTCCAAGCAGCGGATTCGCAATCCGTCGAATCCCCGCTCGAATCGAGTTCCGAACTTCTAAGAAGTGAAATGTCGCGAGACGCGAAACTCACGCAGTGGTTTCATGGCGCTTGCAGACTGGCGAAATCAATCGAAATCAATCGAAACTGGAGAAATCGATGAAGCAAATCTCATGAAATCGCCCCGGCACGGTAGCTTCCCGCTTTCGGTCGATCTAATGTCATGTACCTGCGCCTAGTAACTCTTCCTGTAGTTTTGAAAATTTTAGACTTTGATTTTGTGCAAACTTCATGATGCCGTGATTTGCGAAAAACTCTGAATTAATTCCATCAACAATTTTTTTTCCTCAATCTTCTCGGATGCATGCGAACAAAAATAGTCAAATTCTCGAGTATGGACCCCCCCCCCAAAAATAGTCAAATTCTCGAATATGGACCCCCCCCCCCCCACACACACACTTTGAGGGTGTTGAACCGACACTAATGACCCCTTTGCCATCAGCAAGGGGAGGAACCTCCAGGGTTGCCAGATTCTGCACGAGGTAAGGAGCTCATTTCCGCGCGACTTGTGGAGCCCTCCTCGATCCCCGCAAGGGATGAAAGAGGGAAGAGCCTCCTCCCTCCTCGATCCCCCCAAGGGATGAAAGAGGGAAGAGCCTCCTCCCTCGTGGTGAGAGCGAACGGTCCGCTTCGCTTCTCGTCGGCGAATCGCCGAGGTGCTTGGCTCCCTGTGCGGTATCAATCCAGCTTCCACAGCGCCAACAATACGTATTAGTTTCTATGTTTAGTTAAATTCAGGATGATTTGCATTTTTTTTATAAAGTTTTATTCGTATTTTGTACTCATCCGGCGGCCATTCGGTGCCGCTGCTACGGCAAGGATCATCCGTCGGCGTGAGGCTGTTCGTTATTGCTAACACCATCCACTTGTCCTTGTTTTGTTATTGTATGATGAATTGCGCGGAGTGTTGTATCAACTCGGAGTCCTAAGTGATTCAAAGGAGAGAGTCTCTCTTACGAACCTCTCCGAACGTCGCAACCTTCCTGATTATCCCCTGATTATCTCCTGATCATCCTCGCACCCCGGATTCGGGCCTCCCTGCGGCCACACCTGCTTTTTTTGCATTCCTATAGAGAAGGGCTAAGGGCAGAATAGGAGCAAAACTCAAAAGCCTTATTCCTCAAGGTTAACGGACTCCTTTATTAGGTGTGAGAGATTCTTCATTTGGGATATATTGTATGACTCTCACATTGATGTGCCGATTAATCAAGAGATAGATCCTATTAGACCTTACCTGTACGTACTTCTGTTGAATCATCTTCCTGGTATTTATCGGGATCCTTGGTAAAAATGGTTCAGGGACTGGATGAATCCTCAACATTGATTTAGATCTGCTAAATTTTTTTTCACTTCATTCTTCCATGCATGAATATGCTGCAGCCATTTGAGGTTGGGTTTATGAGTTAGAGGATGGGTGAGATTAGTGCTCTGGAGTCCTGTGGACTTTGAAGCTGCCGCTCTGCCGAAAACCGAATTCATCTTTTGCCGACCCGACACGCTCCTCCGCTGATGCCTGAGAGGGCAATGAAAGGGAAATGTGACCAAGAGTCAGCGAATGTCAACCAGTTCTTAAAATCTCATACATCTTGGTATCTTCCTGCCAATACAAGTAATGGAAGATTCATACCGAAGTCGGATACGAATCGTGCCTTCGACGGAGTGGGTCTCTGTATTGCGAGTGAAGATCGAGGACCTTTGTTTGAAGATTGGGACAACAGAAGCTTTATGGTGACCATACTTCTCAGAAATAAGACCTCGCCAGGAAGCAAGAACATCCCCCATCGATAGCGGCAGGCATCAAACGCCGTACGGAGTCCTCGGAAACTGGCGAGAACTTCTCGTCAAAGGGTGACGGTATCACGGTGATGTCAAGTGAAGCAGATTTTACCTCCTTCAAATTTCAAGTACCAACAAGTAGAATAAAGGTTTCAATTGACATGCCTTAGAACAATGGTGTGCCTTTTAAGGGCATCTATGATAGCATAGCCAAGTAAACTCATGACCTGCTCCTGGCAGCACTCATAAATACTGTGGTTGATGAACTAAATTCACCAAAAAAGGAGGTAGTACTTATTCATTTCAGATCAAGTGAATGAGGGCTTCTTGAATCACCAGCAAAAAAAAGGGTTTATAATGAAAATTTTTGGTTCTCCCAAGAACAAAGTAACAAATCAATACGAACACAAGAATCTCCTGAAACATTAACTTATCCCTGCAGTGGGTCACAAAGTGGAATTCGGTTGCATATATATACCACATGCAATCAGGGGAATAAATTTAATTGTTAGTCTCTGGATATCATCATAGGCTTAATGGTACTGCAGCAATATTGAGTACTGCTACAGTTATGACCTGTTTTGCCATTTCATGTGATTTCATTTTCAGGAGCATCCATGTCCTTCAGCAAGCTTAGGAAGAATTCACAATCAAGACTACTGCAGAATCAGATGATAGCTCAGAATCAAGGAGAAGCAGACATTAATCATGTCAATATCCTTGGTGATTGAGTAAAGTGCATATAAAGCCACTCTCAGTCATTGCTGATTTTTGTGCTATAACATGGTAAAGTTATACCAGATTAACTAAATTCCCTCTTATAAGCTTTTGGAAAGAACAATTCCCATGAAAATGTTGGTGGTAAGCAGGGGTGTCACTATACCAAGAGTTCACAGCACTCAATTCAATCACACAATGAAAATGCTGAAACAAATAATACCTTCTTGTATCCAAAAAGGGAAACAATAAGTTGAATCCACTGACTCAAGAAACAGCAATCATTCAGAAGCGATAGTTGCCAAGCTCAAGATATGCTTCACCATATATTAATCATAAAGCAAGAGATCACATGGAAGAACGCGAGATGCCGCAAGCATCGGGATGGAAGTTTGCTGCGTGGACCTTCAGGTGATGGTGATGGCTGAAGAGCTGTCCACAGACGCTGCACGAGTAAGGCTTCTCGCCGGTGTGGCTGCGGATGTGGCGGTTTGCATTCCCACGGTGCGGTGTCTTGTAGACACAGTGCTTGCACTGGAACACTTTGGTCCTGTATGGCCCTTCCACATATGCAAAGAACTCACCAAATGGAGCTCCTGGCAGTACCTGGATGAAATATTTTGCAGCATATCAATATGATAATGTCTGGCTTGATTTTCGGCTTGAATAAATATGACACAGTTCTCTATTGATAGATTGATTGATATTGAGTGATTTGATCAAAGAGTTTTCTATTTGAACAAACCAAGATTGGAACAAGATGATCCTACAGTTGACACATGCTGAAGAAACTGTGAAATTAGTAATTTCTTGAAATGCCAAGAGATATAATTAAAAGCTAAAAAAAAAATATAATTAAGCATATCATGGTATGTCTAGTGCTTCAGTATTTCCTTAGAGATGCATGCATTTTGTGAAATGATCTTCAAAGATATTTCCCAATATTTTGAGCAAACACAAGCTCCAGGTAAACACAAAATACTGTAGAAATTAAGTGTTCACTTAGCTGGATCACAGCAGGTACAAGTTTTGTAAAAACAACATATTGCCAAACAGTGAGTGCCAAACATCTGTTAGATATACATGACAAATGGGCAAGGGAATGCATAGCAACAAATTTAAAAGCAACAGGGGTGTGCTAACTACTTTTGCAAGTTTATAGTTATGGTACAGCTACAGAATCCCTGAGCACAAATTAGCTTTGAAACTAAAAGGGTCTTCAAGATTTTCATTTCCTTAAACTTGAGGAGAATTTTGCAAAGCTAAAAAATATTGTCAAGGACAGAAACTTTGAAGCAGAATACCCAAGTCAAAAGCCATCATCAAAAACAGCACTATTGCAAGAAGACTCACTGGTGGATTCATCCCTGATTGAAAGTTTTGGACCTGTTCATTGTATTTAAATATGGATCCCTCCTCTCTTTCCGGGTAATGTGATTCATGACTACCCTCTTCCTCTTCTCCCTGGAACATGGAAAGTCTCAGTGAAGCAAATAATCACTCATCATTTAATACAGGCCTGAAGAGACTTCACAAACCTCATCATCAAAACCTCTATCGGATACAAACTCCTCCTTCACAAAAACTTCTTCTTCTTGATGTCGACTTAAACCACTTCCGTCTTGCACATCACTCCAGCCCTTCTCCTTCACAGGTGCCTGAAAAAAGATATATCTTAGAAAGACTTGACTTGAAGCATTAATAACATTGAATAGCACAGATATTTTCAAATGGGTCCCACTGAAGGGATTCTACCTTCATCTCTGACCACAACATTCATTACACATCTTCATCTTCCTTTCTTTCTATCCTAGCAAATCTCCTTCTGAATTTTTGGGGTTGAGCACCTCCTAGCACTTTCATTGTGCAGATATGGCATACGAAATTGTAAATTTATGGTTGAATTCCTTTACACATGTAGTAGTAAACTGCACAACAAACAGAAAACAGAAACAATCAATTTTTTTGGACAATGACATCTGTGAGCAATGAACCCCTCATTCCAGGTTGACAAAGGTAGGCCTATGGTATGATAGGCCATGGCAGAGAAACTATGGCAATCAGAAAAATTCATGACCTCCTCAACCATCAACTGCACTACTTAAGTACCACCACAGCAACCATCGTTGTTCCTTAGCATCAGATTAAAATGATCTGATTAAAAAAAAAGGCTGTTCCATGAAGGGTCATACAACAGCATGGCTTTGGTTAAGCAAAGTGATCTAGAAGATTTGCTTACCATTGATATGGAATCAGTGAAACTCAGATCTTGTGATGATTTGATGAGAGCCTTCTGACCAGAAGCAAACCATCCCCTGCGAAATTTCATTTCAGGGGGCTGACAGGAATCTTCAGGGAGTTCTTTCCGCCAGATGGCTGCCTTCCGCTTGCGAACGACTTCTCGTTCCTCGACAACAGGGGAGTTCAGTTCGGTAGTGGCACCAGCAGCAGGGGAATAGTCTCTTGTGGGGTGCCTCCCCTTCAAGCCCTTCACCTCTAACGCATCGGCAAGTTCCACAAACTTCTCTAGATCCACCAAGGGCACATTGACTTCACCACTGTACATGAAGTCCACCAGGAACTTGACCACATGCAACTCCACACCAAAGAAATAAATCACCGGGTTGTTGCCCCCAACTTCACGATCAAACATGCGTTCAAAGTATCCAGAACCGGCACAGAGGACCAATTTGTGGGCCTTCAACCACCGGCTGCCGCAAGACAACACCACATCAACGAGCGTCTCTCGGTCTCGAAGCACCTTGAAACTTGATAACATCTCTCCGTGGTGAGAATTCCATTTCAGATTGTATTGACTACACATGATGACAGTTTCTGCCTTTCTGCAAAGGAGGAAAATTATAATACCATGTTCCACCACACAAAATATTACTTAATAGGTCATGATAACTTCCTAATTACTAATTTGCTTCACATTTTACAAGTAAGAATAATCAGATTCTGTTCTGACATATCTGAACATAACAGAATTCAGTTTTTTTTTCCACTCAAAGGGCCATCAAAGTCCTGGTGACAAATGAATGACCAATTATCAAATCCTTATAACACCCTCATCCCAACAGACCCATGTGAATAGATTTAGTGCAGTCCATCAATACGAAGGAAGGTGCAGTCATCAATGTAAATGCTACCAGATTCAGTAGAATGGAATCATTTCGGGAGTTGTGGATGTGACTGTATCAGCAATGAAGATTTCATACTCAATTGCAGAAATTTGGTCAAATGCGATGGCCTCATTGTGCAATGAAGCAAGGCAAAGGTGGAGTTAAATTTTCCTCATTGATCTGATCAAATAAATCAGGAAAACCATCTCAATTTTTTATGAAGGCATCTCCCATCACTTCAAGGCTCTCCTCTTGCAAACATAGAGTGAATCTCCTGCTGGATAATATAGAGATTTTTGGCTGCTTCTCCATCTTAGCTACTTAAATCCCAAAATTCATATGCATACTAATATGGCAGATAGACCTAATAAGAGACAAGTAATAACCTGAATTTGAACGCTGGCCACCTGATTTCTTTTCAGTGAGCAAATCTTCACACAACACAATCCAGGACAGTATAAAATCCCTTTTCATTATGCTCCAATCTGTGCTTCTTCCTCCGTTCAATCGCATACAAGTTGGGCACATGGTGTAGCAAAAATACTTGCATCATCTGCCCTGCAGATGACGAGACATCATACTCCACAATCCCTCAATGCAGAGCAACCCCTACAAGCTACGTTTGCTTTTCCCAACATTCAATTACAAGTCGAACGTAAAGCAAAGCCCCATTCCCCCCATCACATGTGCAGAATTCCTTTCCCAGCCCCCAAGCCAAAATACGATAAAGATCCACACTAGGCCTTCAATACAACCCGACACCCAACCCTCACGCAGCAGCCCCAAGGCCAGGCACAGCCACCAATAGGCCCACACGCTGTTCCCAGCTTGACACGAAAACGTGCTCCTCGTGTGAGGCCATCGTGGTCCCGACAGGGTTGCTCGACAGGGTTGCTCTAAGTCGAAGGACATGAAAGCGTACACTCAAAATTTCTATTGGCAGCGGGCAAAACGAACTCATAATATTCCTGGTAACCTATTAAAAATTTAGCTAAATTTTTGTATCGGTAATTAGTTACTGTTGTTTTGACATTTTCTTTTGTTTCATCCATTTGTGTTTCACTCGTCGGATCCAGTCCGATACTCGTCCAGTAGTTTTTTCGTAAGGGCAAGACTTTTGGGTGTTTTCAGCCTTAGCCGCTCAAAAGTACTTTTCAGAACCAAAAGTACGAGGAACTCAGAATACCGTACTTGAGGCCTCAAATGCACATCTCCAGGACAAGTCGGGTCTGTTCTTCCCTCGTTTAAATGGGCAATCAACCAATCTATTCAAGAATATAATTATATTATCAAGAAATCCTTTAAGACCTTTAAGTTCCCATCAGAAGAGGCAAAAAAGGAAGAATGAGAAACGATCCCCCATTCTCGAAGCGAAATGGCCAGATCGATCGGTTTCCCGCGAACATCCGCGAACATCCGCGAATATCCACAATCCATTTCCAAGTCGCCTTCGAAAAACAGGAATTTCCAAAAAGGGCAGAAACTCGAATGACTCGCCAGAAAATCGCAGACAACCCGTCGATCCGAGAGCGAATATTCCGGGACGTTCGACATCCTTTTTGATACATTTTTTAAATCGCATGGGAAATTTTCCTCCTGAGAATTCGCGAAGAGGTCGGTCCCTCTGGGGAAACAGGGCATGCTGCGCTCCCTCACTGCACAGAATCGCTCCATCAATTTTGAAGCGTCAATCCCCCCTGGGCCGCCGAGAACAATGACTCTCGCGTTCTGTAGTCAATTTCGTTCTGGGAATTTTTTTTTTCTCCCACCCCCTATCGCCTTTTTAATTTTTTGTCTGGGGTAAAAACTTGAATACTTATTTCACTGAACCCAATAAAAAAATTACTGCTAATGCTAAAAAAAAAATAGATTGCTAACCATGTCAAAGGGGGGCCGGTCGTCCCCCCCCCTCTCTTGCCCCCTTC